TTCAGAGCAGCACGAGTCAGGTTTTGCCACCAAGTGAGCTTCCCCCATCTGCTGTGCAGAAAGGATTTATAGGGGGAGAAAGACATTAAACAAGCAATGGCAGAAGTGATAAATGCCATCAAAGAAGAACGAAAAGATGCTGCCCCAGCTTACAGCAGAGGAACTGAACCTGAGGTCATGGAAGAGTAACCCAAGTGGAGACTTGGAGGATGGGTTAATGTTAACCAGGGGAAGGAGAGAGGAGGGTGTCCTGGGCCCCAGTGCAGAGATGGTGACTGCGAGGATGTGGGGGCAGCCTGACCATGGAAGGTTTTATGGATTTGCATCCTCATGCCTAGTGAAATAACAGGTTTTAAGAAAGAGAATAGCCTCAGCTGGCCTGAATTTTAAACAATCCTTTTGGCCGCAGTGAGAGAAGCAAGTGGACAGATGGAAACCGATTAGGAATCTGTTCTGAGCCTAGGCTAGGGGTAATGGAGATTTAACCCAAGTGGTGCCAGTGGAACTGAAGAGAAGTGGAGAGATTGAGACACTCAGGAGACAAAGCCATAGGACTCAGTAATGTAGCATTTATAGGAGGTAAAGAAGAGGAAGGCTCCTGGCTTCTGGTTTCAACACTAAGATGGTTGGTGAAGTCCTACACTGAGAAGCAGGGTTAGGGGGTACAATGATGAGTCTTGGTCCAGAAATGCTGCTTCTGAGGTGCCAGGGAGACATCCGAGGGATGCAGCGCCTGGATGCAGGGGACGAGCAGGGAAGAGACGTCCACCTGGAGCCATCAGCATCAAGGCTAATCACCTGGCAAGTGTGTGAAGAGTAAATGAAAGACAACCAGCACTTGACAGACAGTGGAACTGGCAGGCCAAGGAGACTGTGAAGAAGCAAGCAGGGAGCGGGGAGGTGAGCAGGGCGAGTATGGTGTCACAGAATCAAGGTCAATGAAGACGCTGGCTGAAGTGTCCCTGGATTTGGAGTCCTGTACCTCATTTGCTGGCTGCTTCCGTGAGAGTATTTCAGGGGAGGACTGGGGCATGGAAGCCAGTTTGCAATAGGTTGAAAAGTGAATGGGAGGCAAAAAAAAAAAAAAAGAACTCTCAAGCACAGACAAATTTTTCAAGCAGTTTTTGGGCTATTGAAGGAAGAAGAAAGAGGGTGATGTCTGGGGAGGACATGGGGTCGGGATGGTTTGTTTGGGGAGAAGAGAAATAAGTACATTTCAAAACTGATGAGAATGAGTCTGTAAAGGAAGGACAGTTAAGGATGGGAGAGAGAGGGGATAATGACTAACAGAAGGTTCCTGAAATGAGCAGAGGGGCTGAGATCCACAGTGGAGGGAAGGAATAACACTTCTTCCATGGTGGCAGGAAAGCAGGGGAGAGGATGGGGTGAGAGGATGGGTCTGACATCTACAGGTATACAGATCTTTTGGTGGGAGGGTGGAGTTCTCACTTAATGGCTTCCAGCTGCTCTGTATGGTAGTTGGCAAATCAACTCTGAGAGTTAATCAGTGGGCAGGGGTTAAGGTCTGAGGGGAGTGGAGGAGGTCTGAAAGGACTGTTGTGTAGAACGGGAGCAAGACCTGGTCTGGGTGACATGCTGAGCAGTACGCAGGCCCTGCCAAGGGTGAAAGCATGATCTACCCATGGTGGCATCAGGCCACCATGATGTAACCTTGTCACTCAGCCTTAGCAACTTGGGTGCAGTGGGTGGCTGGCAGATGGCTGGATACAGGCAGAGCTGGGGTGTGTCCTGGTAAGTGTATCGAAAGGAGAGGCTAAGGAGTTTAGGATATTGGCAGGAGGGTGGTTAAAGGGATGAGCCATGGAATCTACGCTGGATAGAAAAGAAGTGCAAGGAGGGAAGTGGCCAGTGGTGGAGGAGAAAGCCAAAGGAAAGGGTCTTAAGGAGACGAAGTGGGTAAATTTGCAAAAAGGAACACTGGGGGTTACAATCAGGCTCGTGCAGTCAGGGGACACTGGGCTTACCAGGGATAAAGATAAAAAGCAAACGAGACCATTTCTGCCAAATTAAACTACTTGCTAAGACCAGACTTTCCCCCAAGAAAAGGGAAAGAAATGCAAAGAGCAGCATAGGGAATTAATGGAATTGTCATAACCCCATTTCTTCATGATTAGGTAGGGCATTACACAAAGAATACAGAATCCCAATACATTTTTAGAAATCTTGCTTTGATTTCTCACTAAAATGGCCACATTCCTATAATGAATGACTTAAGAGAGAAGAGACTTAAGAGGACTTAAGAGGAAGACAGAAGTTGCTAATTTGGGATTTGGCTTTGAATTCCAATAATCTCTGCCATGAACTTACCATATGATTTAATAATGGGATTTTAAAAATGTAATGTAATGTTTATTCACCACTTCCTAAATGCCAGGCACTATCCTGAGTGTTACATGTTGATTTCGTTCAATCTCCATGACTCTGAAGTATGTACTTGTATTGCCCCTGTTTTACTGATGGGGAAACGAGACGTAAAAGACATGAAGTAGGTTTACCAGTATTCTTACTTTTTCAGCTAAGGGTGATAATGCCAGTTGGTACATTGTAAGGCATGAACCATAAAAATGATGGTACAATTCACGTAAAGTTCACCTAAATTCTAAATAATTTTGATTACATGAAGGATTTGATTTAAAATGTTAAAAAATCTCAATACAAACCTAAATTTCTCTGAATCAGCATGCACTCCTTCTCCTTTGCAGAAAAATGGCTTCTGCTTGAAATGCCAAAGTCAAAGCAGTACTTATTCTTCCCCATGTCAAACAAAGTACAGTTAAAAATTGTCCTCCTCTCCCCCAAGGGCAGGCTGTTTTCAGCCAAGTGAATGATCCTCTTCCCAGGGGATCTGGGTGCCTCCTTGAAGACAGTGACCACTCCTTGGACGAAGGTGCATGGTGGAGGCAGCACCATCACCTCTACCCCGGACTCACATGTGAGTTCTGGCACCATCAACAGTTTGTATCCAAATTTCTGGGCCAGGTCAATGGGTCCTGTGGAGGTAATGACTGAGTCTCGCCCAAGCAGCTTCAGCACCACGGTGACATAGGCTTCTGGCCCCACGGGTGCACAGCCAAACTCAACCCACTGACCTTGAGTAAGTTGTGTCCTTTTGCTGGTTCTTATTTCCAGTGGCTGTCCTGAATTTCTTCTTGCCTCAGGAAGACTGTTGGTGAAGATGACATCCACTACAATGTCGGGCTTGTCCACAGGAAATGGGCACAGTGGTTGATTGGTAAATAGGCCCACTTGGAAGGTGCCTTCTGCTGCCTTGGCACTCCTATTCAAGTCAACGTGAAAGACCGGCCATTCCACCTTCAGAAAGGCACTTTTCTCCCACCAGGGGAATGGAGTGCTGTTGTCTGTTGCTTCTGGAATCATTGTGAACCAGTAGTCACCAGCCTCCTTGAAATAGAAGCACTCAAACTTGAGTGTTCCCTGGGACTGGTTGGTCAAGAGGTACTTGGCAGTTACAGTCTGATTGGTGTTGGCCTCCAACAGCAGGACAGATACATTCCTCAGTGTCCCATTAGCACCATCAAAATACTGGAAATCCACATACACTGTGTCGTTGCTTAGTGCTACATGGCCTGGCTCTCTCAAGAGGAGATATTCAGCTTCTCCAAGAACTGAAATGAAGTGGTCAGAATTGGTTTTTAAAAGGTGCATTTGAGAAGGACTATTGGTGACATTGATGAAAACAGAATTAAAAAAAATTTTTTTTTGAGACAGGGTCTCATTCTGTCACTGAGGCTAATGTGCGGTGGCACAATCACTGCCTGCTATACTCCTAACCTCTTGGGCTCAAGCGACCTCCCACCTCGCCCTCATGAGTAGCTGGGACTACAGGCACATGCCACCACACCCAGCTAATTTTCTTTTTGTAGAGACTGGTCTCAAACTGCTGGGCTCAAGCAATCCTTCCACCTCAGACTCCCAAACTGCTAAGATTATAGACATGAGCCACTGTACCCAGCAGAAAACAGCATTTTAGACAAGAGAAGTTAGAACTGAGCCAAGGATGATGTAAAATGATACTGAGTACAGATCCTGGAACCTGGCCATTGTGCTCTTTCCATTCTGAAGTGATTCTGTTCCTTCTTCATCTTTCATAGTCATGTTAAAATAATTAGTGGTAAATACTCCGAATTCACCACATTCAACAATGTGATATATCTGCAATGAAAATCTATACAGCTTGAATAATAGTTTTTAGGATTAAAAACCCAGTAGCTCATATTGTTAATCATATTCTGACGTTTAGATATTTGGGGAAAATGGATATACAGTGAAGAGAAAGTTTGATCTAAATGACACAATACAAATTGTTCTGGACTATTTTAAATGTAAAACCCTAAATTTACTTCCAAGTTATTATTTTCTGATATTCAAGACAAGCACTGGGGAATTTTTGCCAGTAAAGGAATCAGTGTCCTCAGCTGTATGAGGCAGACATATTTAGATGGATAAGAAATGTTGACACTTTATTCTGCATGGATAACCAAAGGGATAGTGTGAACATTTATGAAATAACTAGGCTTGTCCTTGGCAATTTAATGACATTACAGCAACTGGTATTTGCCTAGATAGGACAGATGACTACTACTTCTCAAGTATCATTCTGTTAGGATCAATCATATCTTTTAAAAAGAGACCCAGCAGAGCAGCTTAAGTGAAAAGTGCAAAGAACAGACACACAAGAATCCTTGTTTCTATTTTGAATCCTATCCAAATACATATCAAAGGAGGCAGAATTTGGCAATGCAACAGTCAGCTGGCCCGTGGCTAGGGTAAGAAACAGTTCTAGATATAAGGGACTGAAGTTCCCTTTAGGTTTGAAAAACAACTTGTGTAAATATGAATTGTTTTTCTTATTATATATGCCTCATGAATATATATGTCCAAAGGGGCCCATGTGTTTTTTTGTTTGGGCTGGTAGTCTTTAAAATACCCTTATATATAAGCAATCAATGATTATTAGAATCAGCACATGAATATCCTGGCACACAGAAGAGTTTTTAATTAGCACAGCATTTCACCTAGTTCTCATTTGAGATGAGATGAAATAAAAGACATGAAACTTGGGTGACTTGAATGCTTGATTATCACTTGTTTGAAAACCATAATCGGATAAAGTTCTTTTTTTCTCCAATTAAGCAAAAACAAGTTGTGGGATATTCCCTTTTGTTTAGAGATGACTCAAAGTTGAGGAAGGTGGCTGATTCTGGTGCAGCCTGTATACTGGTTCAGACCCAACCTGGTACCTTTCTTGAACTGCTGGGTAAAGAGACCCCAGCACTTACCACAGCCCAAGGAAGTGCTTAAGACTGAGAACAAAGTCATACTAATTTGGATCTGAAGGGGGCAGGATGGTTCTGTGGTCCATTTAAGAATAAGAGGCATACACCACTTAGTTAACTAATGAAAGTCTATTGCAGGCTGGTCCGATGGTAGCAGGTTATCAGAACTTATTAACAGTAGTGTCACCAAAGTTGGTATATGACCCCCAACTACTAAATTTGACTGGCTTAAAAAAAAAAAAAAAAAAAGCAGTCTATTGTGTATGACAGGGATTGTCAATGAAGCAAATCAGATTCTGATTTGATGGGAGACAGTCAATGAAAAAGACACACATACCCCATTGGAAATGGAGAACAAAGATGCAATTGATGGGTTCCAGCAGCAGCAGATAGGAGGTATGTACTAGAGGGAGAATTTGCTACTTTAGAACTCCTGTTAGAAAACTACAATTTGGGCCGGGCGCGGTGGCTCACACCTGTAATCCCAGCACTTTGGGAGGCCGAGAGGGGTGGATCACCTGAGGTCAGGAGTTCAAGACCAGCCTGGCCAACATGGTGAAACCCTGACTCTACTAAAAATACAAAAATTAGCTGGGCATGGTGGTGGGCGCCTGTAATCTCAGCTACTCGGGAGGCTGAGGTAGGAGAATTGCTGGAACCTGGGAAGCGGAGGGTGCAGTAAGCCGAGATTGCGCCACTGCGCTCCAACGCGGGCCAACAATAGCGAGACTCCATCTCAAAAACAAACAAAAAAACACTACAATTTGGTTCTACCACATCTTGACTACTATAGTATACAGGTAATGGTATATTTTGATCAGTATTAAGTAGAGATAAGGGGGGTAAAACAGATCTATGACAATACCTACTTTTTTTATTTTATTGGTGGCTTGTGCACTCAACTTCTATGCTCTTTTTTATGCTCATTCAACTTTTATTTTCATATTCCAGTAAGAAATTTTGCTCTTAACAACACCCTTGTATAATTTGTTTAAATGGAGAATTTCAATGCTTTATTTATCATTATGAAACCAAGAACACATACTTTTTGTAGAAGGCTGTCACATGTAGAGTAATCTGTGTTTTTTTGTTTTTGTGTTTTTGTTTTTGTTTTTTTTTTTGAGACAGACTTTTGGTCTTGTTGCCCAGACTGGAGGAGTGCAGTGGCACGATCTCAGCTCACCACAACCTCCACCTCCCGGGTTCAAGCGATTCTCCTGCCTCAGCCTCCCAAGTAGCAGAGATTATAGGTGCGTGCCACCACGCCCAGCTAATTTTTGTATTTTTAGTAGAAACGGGGTTTCACCATGTTGGCCAGGATGGTCTCAATCTCTTGACCTCGTGATCTGTCCCCCCTCGGCCTCCCAAAGTGCTGGGATTACAGGCGTGAGCCACCGCATCCAGCCAGAGTAATCTGTTTTTAAAGAAGGGATACATTACTTTTCTTTTTTGTTTGATTTGTTTTGTTTTTGAGACAGAGTCTCACTCTGTCACCCAGGCTAGAGAGCAGTGGCGCGATCTCGGCTCACTTCAAGCTCCCCCTCCCAGGTTCATGCCATTCCCTGCCTCAGCCTTCCAGGTAGCTGGGACTACAGGCACCCGCCACCATGTCTGGCTAATTTTTTTTGTATTTTTAGTAGAGGCAGGGTTTCACTGTGTTAGCCAGGATGGTCTCGATCTCCTGACGTCGTGATCCACCCACCTCGGCCTCCCAAAGTATTGGGATTACAGGCATGAGCCACTGTGCCTGGCCAAATTACTTTAAAATAAATGAATCCCACATTGGCTTTCCTTAAATCCGGAGTCTTCTTGTTGTATAAATAAACTTCTTAAAAAAGAAAAGACTGAGAAAGGAGGTCTACTGAATGAAATGAACAGCAGTGCTCTGGTCCATTTAACCAACTGTGCCATTCACATTACACAAGCCAGTGTCCTCTACATCTTGGATCAAAATTTCTTCACCAAATTCAAAAACAACTTCCACTCCCATACCATCAACTGCCTAGATGTCTATGAAATATTTGGAAATCATCAAAAGAAAAGTAGTGAAGATTACATCATATTGTTGATTCTATTGGTTCAGTAGTTGTATAAAGCTCTCTGAGAAATGAACTCAATTTTTAGTTGAAACGAATGAAGAGAACAGACTTTAAGTACCTACTATCTGCTCATTCAGGGTGTTTCGCATTCTTGATATTATAACAACCCTGTGAAGTCAATATTATTGCTGAGATTGAAAGAGATGAAGAAACTTTTCTAAGGGCACGCAACTTTCAAGGATTGAAATTCAGATTGGTTCCAAATACATGTTAGCACCAAAACTCTGTCAAGTGAAATCTTACGTAGAACCCTAATATACACAACATCACTGCATGTGTGTATGAAGTGATTTATCACACTGAATTACAGGGAAATCAAAAAGAACTCAAGGTAACATGCTTGCCTCCAGTTTTTTAAAATTTGAGAGAGTTGGTTTTTTAATTATTTTTTTAAAGACTTAAAAATATAAAGTGAAATATGAATCAATCATGCAGAATCACTGAAGCATGAGAGAACCCAGGGTTGCAAGGGTCACGGTTTAGAAAGCACTGCACTATAGACCCTACCCTGCCTCCTTCATGAAGAGTCATCAACATCAATGCATTTACAAATGTCATATTTATGTTTTATTCCTACCAATAGCATTAAGTATACTCACAATACTCACCATAGTCACAGAGCACCACCAACAATAGATTTGAAAAGTCTTTCAACATTGGTTTCATTCTGATCGGCAAAATCCCAGGTCTTTAGTCTCCTCATGTCCTTTCTCACGTACAGATTGTGATTTTTTTCCTCAAAAACACCTGAAATTAGAACCTCAAAAAATGATGGCTCCATTCAATGTGATTGATAAAATAGTAATCATGAAATGACAAAACCATTCTAAAACTCAAACTTCCTAAGTGATATTGAAAGGAAACTAGAGAGGACATTAATTTTCCCTGGGGCAATGACTTATAATTATACAAGCCCCTTTCATTCCACTATAACTCACAGGTCAAGAATATGCAGGTATGCCCAGCACCCACTAAGATTATCTTTGCACAACACCAAAGTCTCTTCTCTTTATAGCACATCCTTAGGTGGAGAGTTTATTGTTATTTGCTTAATTTTATCAAAGTTAATAACCAATTTGGATACATTTTCACATTATTTATCTGCTTGGCATTTCACACTGATAAATTTACTAAATTTCTGCTAAACTTTAATTTAGCATTGTGCTATATATACTCAAATGCTCCCTGCCTGGCATCCACAAATGGGCTAACACTTCCTTGCACAATTGGTGTGTTACCAGGATTGCTTCATTTATCGATTCCTAGGAGCTACATCCAAGCGATCAAAGCTTTTTTAAAAAAAGATACTCCAGAATACTACAATTAAATGTGAACTCCATGTGGCCCTGACTTCCCTTGTTTAGGGCAGCCTAAGGAGAAAACAGATAAATAACAATCATCTTCATCAGTCCTGAAATACTTGTTGCTGCTGGTATGCATCATGAGATTGGTGGTTCACACAGCAATCTTCCCAGTCTACCTAAGAGGGCAGGGAAGACCTTGCTGGCCTGTAGTTCACAGCTATTTGTTGGAAGAGGCACTTATTTTATTTAATTAATTAATTTATTTAGAGATGGAGTCTCGCTCTGTCACCCAGGCTGGAGTGCAGTGGCAAGATCTCGGCTCACTGCAAGCTCCACTTCCCGGGTTCACGCCATCCTCCTGCCTCAGCCTCCCAGGCAGCTGGGACTACAGGCGCCCACACCACGCCCACCTAATTTTTTGTATTTTTAGTAGAGACGGTGTTTCATCGTGTTAGCCAGGATGGTCTCGATTTCCTGACTTCGTGATCCGCCCGCCTCAGCCTCCCAAAGTGCTGGGATTACAGGCGTGAGCCACCGCGCCCGGCTGGAAAAGGCACTTATTTTATATAGACTATTCAACTATAGAATAAGATACTGGGCATTTAAGATAGTTCTTTCATACTAGAGTCTAACAAACTATGTATTAATATTAAATACAACCAAATATATATTTTCTTAATGTTGATGGTCCCCCCCATTATTCACAGTTAATCTTTTTTTTTTAGACAGAGTCTTGCTCTGTCACCCAGCCTGGAGTACAGTGGCATGATCTTAGCTCACTGCAACCTCTGCCTCCCAGGTTCAAGTGATTGTCCCACCTCAGCCTCCTGAGAAGCTGGGATTATAGGTGTGCACCACACTCTTGGCTAATTTTTGTATTTTTAGTAGAAACAGGGTTTCACCATGTTGGCCAGGCTGGTCTCAAATATCTGACCTCGTGATCTGCCCACCATGGCCTCCCAAAGTGCTAGGATTACAGGCGTGAGCCACCACACCCAGCCCACAGTTAATCCTTTTAAGAAGCAAGTATATTATATTCCAAATACATGTTACATCTCTTCAGATGAGAGCACAAATTAGTGGAATTAAGAAGACTGATTGAAATAAGCCAAAATTCAATGGAAGGGAAACTGGTGTGTCCTATTAGCTGTCTTCCATTAACAGTGGGCTGAACAAAGGAAATACTGTACTTCCTGAAAGGGAAGCAGAGATTTGAAGTGTAACTACGCAGACGATTAGGGCTCCCTCCTCTTCCCCGCCATCCCTACCCCCCAAAACAAAAAGAAAAGGGAAGAAGAAGAAAATTGTTTTGGGTGGAATTAGCCACAGATTTGACCCAATTCTTTCCTTGAACATGGACTGGGAAACCTGGCCAAAGTCAGCCAGTAAGATCCTTGCAGAAAGCATCATATCACTTGGGCAAGTGTGAGCACTTAAAGACAATTACAATGCTTCTTTTAAGCCACTGAGACCTGGTAACCAAACCAAGGAGAAGCAAGCTCCCAAAAGTTGAACTGGCTTCTCTCAGATTTGTTTGCTTCCACCACAATAACCTTTTTATTTTTGAAGCCCCAAATCATAACTGATTTTGTGATAACACATTTTCTTTCTTATGAAAATGATCCCTAAAACATAGAATGGTGAGATAATCTATATTTAGAGCTGAATGGAAAAAGACTTACAAAACAGACCAGCCTACTTGTCAATCATAATATGGAATATGATCATAACATTAGTCATAATATGTCTCTTTAATTTCTTTCTACCTTGCTTGCTTATTTTCTTTCAACATGTTGTTCCAGATACCCGACTGACTTCTTACAATGTTTGGCTTCAGAATTGTTCTAGGAAATTAAGAACTTAGGTATATTTTATACACATTTGAAAATACTTCTACATAGCATTCTTGTATGTAAACTTTATAGACAAATTCTAAATGCATCAGCTGAGAAGGTGGGGAAAAGTTGTGAATATTCTCAACGGCTAACAGCATCACCCAATCTCAGACCCCATGTTTTTGCTGAAACCAGCTAGGACAAATGCTTCTAAATCTCCCTTCATAGCTGCAGAAAAAGAAAAGGAATCACACTAATGTCCATGGGACCAATGATTCGTGAAAAAATAAAAGGGAAAACGAAGAAAAGTTATTTTGTCCCTTCTGACCAACATGCACATGTTCCTGTGTATATATAGGAATAGTATTTATTGGGAGGAAATCTGTAGTTCCAAAGCAGCTCGTGTAAACAGGCTTCATTTATATGTTCATTCGAGTCTGCTCTGCCCTGGTCCCACGGGTTGGGTGCAGCGTTCCTGGGACGCCGTGGCTCGCCCCATCTACTCAGCTTCCCAAATGCCCGCAAGCCCAGTTCACGCTTGGAAATCTACCCCTCGTGTCGTCAGCTGAAAGCCCTCCTTAATGATGACCGTCTTTAATTTAATTTAATCCTTGTATCTTATACTTTTTGTATCTCAGAAGGGATTTCTTTTTGGAAAGAAACAGTAGCTCAAGACGCGATTTTTCAAGGTTCTGTGGCCAGTCTCAGTCACCCGGCAACGTCTGAGCCAGGGCAGAGCCAGGTTCAGTTAAATTCGGGACTCCGAGGTGTGGAGACCAATACTCCTTAAAAGTGTCCCCTGGGGCAGAGGCGGGGGTGTGGAGGGGCCGCCAGCGTCCACCTGCGCCTTCAGGCTGCTGGGAGGTGGCAGGGTCCGGGGGCATTTCCCGACCCCAGCGGAGCCTCCGAGGGTCTCGCGGCACAGGAGCGCCCGCTGGGGCGCGGACGCCGGGATGCGGAGGGCGCTTCTTACCTTTCCAGACCGATGGGCAGCGACCCCAGGCCGGCCGGGCGAGTGGCGAGGCGGACGGGAGGCCTCAGGGGCCGCGAGGCAGCGCGCCGAGCATCCCGCGTCCCGGACTGCGCGCCCTGACCCCGCGGCGTTCGGCTCCTACAGCCCCGCCCTGGGCCGCCCCCGACGGCGTGGGAAGGGCGGGCACCGGGAGGGCGGGGGACACCCGGGACCGGGCGTGGTCGGCTCCCGCCCCTTCTGGGCAGCGCATCCTTTCCTGCCCGCCCCCAGCTCGCCAGCTGCTGGACAGGAAACAGGCAGGAAACGCGCGGCCAGCCAAGGTCCTGCGGCAGGGGGTGCGGCCCCGGCAGACGCAGGTCCCCTCAACACACACCCGCGTCCACAGCACACAGCCGGATCAGGGGTTTAACTAAGGACGAGCCAGCAATCTCCTGACACTTCACATTCAATCACTTCTACCCTAGTGTCATTTTCTTCAGGGAGACCACAAAAATTAAGTCCTTGAAGTGGCACAGCATGTGGGCTGTAAACTTGCTTTCCCAAATGTCATTGAAGAGTTTCAAAAGAACATAGTTCAGGTAAAGTGCATCTCCATTTTCTTTCCCTGGGGTCAGAATTGGTTATTAAAAATAATTAAACATTTTTAAAACCCTACTCTGCAAGTGTTAAAAGTTCTTTTTATGGGAATGTGAATTAGTTCAGCCACTGTGGAAAGCAGTTTGGAGATTTCTGAACTAAAAACAGAACTATCACTTGACCCAGCAATCCCATTACTGGGTGTATCCCCAAAGGAAAATAAATCATTCTGCCAAAAAGACACCTGCACTCCTATGTTTATCACAGTACTATTCACAATAGCAAAGACATGGAATCAACCTAGGTGCCCATCAACAGTGGACTGAGTAAAGAAAATGTGGTATATACACACCACGTAATACTAAGCAGCCATAAAAAAAGAACAAAATCACGTCATTTTTAGCAACATGGATGCAGTTGGAGGACAGTATCCTAAGTGGAACAGAAAGCCAAAAACCGTATGTTCTCACTTATAAGTGGGAGCTTAAACAATGGGTACTCATAGACATAAAGATGGCAACAACAGACACTGGAGACTCCAAGTCAAGGGAGGGAGGGAAAGGGGCAAGCGCTGAAAAACATCCTATTGGGTACTACGTTCATTATCTAGGTGACAGGATCAATAGAAGCCCAAACCTCAGCAACATGCAATTATCCTTGTAACAAACCTGCATATGCACCTCCAAATCTAAAACTAAAATTTAATAAAAAGTTTTAAGTTTTTTGGAAAATATGAGAGGATAGATTCCACCTTAACAGCTGTGCTTGTTAAATTGAGTGAATGAGCAGTATGGCTTACGACTTGCTTTTCTTTTATGCAGAATATACCATTTGACAGCAAAACTAATATCCAGTAATGGAAATCAAAGCACAGTGGTGGCCTCTGGAGAGCGGATGACTGGAAAGAGGCACGAGGGAACTTTTAGGGGGCGACAGATATGTTCTATTGTTTGGAGTGTGAGTTACATGGATTTGCTAAGCATTTGTTAAAACTCGTTTGACTGAAGATCTGTGCAATGCAGTTTGTAAACTTTACCTCATTTAAAAAATATTTTAAAGTATGTGATTTGCAGATCTTTGAGTCTATCACTTCATTTTTTTAAAAGGTAGCACAAGTATTTACCTATGTTACCAGAGGTATAAAATTTTCTAAGAACTTGTCTTGTCAGCCAGGTGCAGTGGCTCATGCCTGTAATCTCAACAATTTGGGAAGCCAAGGCAGGAGGATTGCATGAGTCCAGTAGTTTTAGACCAGCCTGGGCAAAATGGCGAGGCTCCATCGCCACAATAAATAAGAAATTATTTGGGAGGCCAAGATGGGTGGATTGCTTGAGCTCAAGAGTTCAAGACCAGCCTGGGCATCATGGCAAAACCCCGTCTCTACCAAAAATAGAATATACTAGCTGGCTGTGATGGCATATGCCTGTGGTCCCAACTACTTGGGAGGCTTAGGCAGTAGGATCACTTGAACCCAGGTGGAGGCTTCAGTGAGCCAAGATGATGCCACTGCACAGGCTGGGTGAGACCCCATCTCAAAAAATAAAATAAGAAATTAGCCAGGTGTGGTGGCATGTACCTGTTGTCCCAGCTACTCTGGAGGCTGAGGTAGGAGAATTACTTGAGCCTGAGGTTGGGGCTACAGAGAACAGTGATAACACCACTGTACTACAGCCTATGTGACAGAGTGAGACCAACCAATCTTGTCAAATAGTTACTTCTAGCAATACTAATTAAATCCATCCAAAGTTTCAAAGAAGACTTTAAGGTGATCATCCAGTTTCACTGCCAGTAGAATTATCTAGTCTAATTTCCATTCACCAATTTACACTAGGATTATTTTTCAAATACATACCACCCAGCCCCTGGCATTTCAGTTTTAAAAGCAAAAGCTCAGTGGAAAGAGCAGGCATTGGAGTTATAAAAGTACAAAAATTAGCTGGTGTGGTGGTGTGCACCTGTAGTTCCAACCATCAGGAAGCTGAGGTGAGAGGATTGTTTGAGCCCAGAAGGCAGAGGTTGCAGTGAGCCGAGATTGTGCCACTGTGCTCCAGCCTGGGCAATAGAACCAGACCGTCTCAAAAAAAAAAAAAAAAAAAAAAAAAAAAAAAAAAATTATATGGGGGTATAAAGAACCCAGAACAGGATAAAACAATCTTGAAAATGAAGAGCATATTTGGAGGACTCACATTTTCCAATTTCAGAATTTACTACAGGCTGGGTATGCTGGTTCATGCCTGTAATCCCAGCACTTCGGGAGGCCAAGGCAGGCAGATCACTTGAGGTCAGGAGTTTGAGACCAGCCTGAGCAGCAGCGAAAACCCATCTCTACTAAAAAAAAAAAAAAAAAAAAAAAAAAACCAACTAGCTGGGGATGTTGGCACACACCTGTAATCCCAGCTACTCAGGAGGCTGAGGCAGAAGAATTGCTTGAACCCGGGAGGTGGAGGTTGCAGTGAGCCGAGAATGTGCCACTGCACTCCAGCCTGCGTGACAGAGTGAGAGATGGTCTCAAAAAAAAAGAAAAAAAAAAAAAAGAACTTACTACAAAGCAGTAGTAATCAAGACAGTGTGATATGAGCAAAAAGATAGATATATAGCTAGAATTGCAAGTTCAGAAACTCATCTGTGGTCAATTGAGTTTTTAAAAAAACAAAAAACCCCATACGCAAGCATATGCTCAATTGTTTTTTGACAAGGGTGCCAAGACCATTTAATGGTCAATTAATGGTGCTGGCATAACCAAATAGCCACATGCAAAAGAATGAAGTTGGACCTCCTACTTACACTGTATACAAGTAAAAAGATACACTTTTACATAAAGCCTAGATTAAATTCCAGCCCTGACACTGCAAACCTGGGTAGATTTCTTAATCGCTCCTTCCCTTCACTGTAGAAGGCATATAATAGTTATTGTGAAATATTATAGTGATTAAGTGAAACATATCGGAGGCAACTTTCTCTGCATTAATCTTTCAGGCACATACTTTTTCCCCAAAAACCTACTCTTTAAGGGTGGAAATCCAGGTACAAGTGATATGCTTGGTCATATTTTAAATAACAGCTTTATTGAACTGACTGGTCAATTTTGTCTCCATTAGAATTCTTGCCAAACTGTACTGCTGTCTTTATTGGACAGTTAAGATATAGTTTAACATTTTCTAAAAGAAGGCAATATAAAAATGAAAGGAAAAAAGCTTTCAAATGAACAGTGGTATGGTCAGTATTGAACTATAACTGATCTGGCTCTCAAAATACCTTCAATTCTCTTTCTGGGTTAGCGACTGATCTAGTAATCTTGTGCAAATTGTATAAAATTTATACACTATCTCAATAACTCCGTTTATACAAATGGAGAGAGCCTTTTTTCTCTGGGTAATGCTCTGAGATGAAAGCTATAACTGACTCATGATTTCGTATCAGGACACAAGGAAGAAGACGAATGGCCCAATTTCCACACTGTAATAACAAGAACTTACCTGTGTGTATAACAACTACTCTAGAGTGCTTTCCACATCATGCACATGGCCCATGCCATATTTGAGTAAGACAGAGCAGATCTCACTCAGACAGGCTAAGCCTTGACAAGTCTGGTTGAGAAACCTCTCGGGAAGAGGGTAAAAGACAGAGTTGGTTTGCTAGGCAACTCATGCATGACTCAGTACTATAATTCAAAGATCACCCAATTCAGTTAATACTTTACTAGGAATCTACCATGTACAGTCACTGACCTAGGTCAGTGAGAATTCAAAAAAAATGTTACATGACAGTCTTTGAACGTAAACCTAGTTTCTCTGTTTTCTTATGGTATCAAGACAACATTTAAGAGAACAAGACAAAATATAGTTAAGCATATGGAAAAGACAATAGCTCTTATACAGTTTAGAAATAATAGAGCTGTCTATTGGAAACATTTCTGGAGCAGGCAGGATCGAGCAAAGTAAAATTTAGATTGGTGGGGGTGGGCATGGGAGAGGGGAGGTGAGTGGGAAGAAGTAAAGAAGGGAGGTTTGGACAGACAAGGGAAACATCCAGGAGCAGGAAGGGGCACACCTCTGCTGTTCCCTTTTCCCAACACCTTCCACTTACTGACAATCTCTTGGTCTTTGTGAGCCTAGTTTACCAGGTTCTTCCTTTCCCACAAAGTCTTACAAAGCCCTCCACCAGGACTAAGGGCTCCTTCTTCTGTCTTCCCCAGCATGGTACATATGCCCCTTACATGGTACTTACTTCATTCTATCTTCAGTGAAAGTCACTTACGTGTCTGTTTCCCCAACTAGGTCTCCCTTTTCTTAAGGACAGAGCTGTATCTTATTCATCTTTGTATCCCCTCCCACTACCAGTGCCCAAAAAAATTGCTCACAAAAAATTGCTATATGTTCAAAAAAATCTATTTTTCATTGAATTGAATGGGAGCTAAAGTAGGATAAAGTGGAGCCAAATTATAAATAGGAATATAGGTCGGTGTTCATTCATTCAGTAAATATTTATTGAATGCTTATTGTGTCCAGGCCCTGTTCTCGGCTCTTAAGATGCATCCATGAACAAACCAGACAAAAACCTCTGCCCTTGTGCAGCTTATACTCTAGATTGTAAGGGATGGGATTAGCAATAAATTTACATAAATTCAACCATACCTACTGGAAAAAGACACATGCATGTAAATTATTAATGCTATAAGAATCTACTCTTGATATGCAGTTTGTATTTTTGTACTTAATATAAGCATAATATATTCATACCTATGTATCACTCCACAGGAATTTAAACTTTAAGACTACAAAGAGAACTTCATTGGTAATTTAGGAGATTTTCAAGGACCATTCTGAGCATGCTCAATTTTGTCCTTAGGCACGGTCTTTAAAACCTAACCACCTTCCAAGTTGTGACTC